CTGGTCCCCCCACCCACCAACAACAACAACAACAACAAAAAGAGAGAGAGAGAGAGAGAGAGAGAAGACAATGGGAGTGGGGATTTAGCTCAGTGGCACCACACCAAGAGTTCAACCCCTGGTTGGTGGGAGTGGGGACGGGGACGACAAGACAAGTTCTTAATGCATAAATAGGGGCCCAGGACAGTTAAAGCTCTTATCAGCCTAAGACCCTGTCTCCTGGAGCTTGCCACCGTGTACTGAACACATAGCTGCTACAAAGGGAAAGGAGCCGTGCAGGGAACAGTGGAGTAGAGAGCAATGATGTGAGTAGGTTCTTCGTGACAAGGGAATGAAACATTCTAGCAAGAACAGCTCATAGATTGATGGGAAATTTGTTTTTTCCTTCTTGGAGTTTTCTGTGTAAGTCATGCAGATGGAACAGCCACACAGGGCATGGAGACCTCTGCTGTAACCAGTGGTGTGGGGAGTTGTTCCTTTCCCACACACCATCCGGCTGGCTCTTCAGGCAGCCATTGGGGACTAATAGGTAGGCTCAGACTTTTACTATGAAAAGCCAACTTATAAATGTGTAGCATGCTCAGGATGGTCTCCATCACCCCTCCACATGATCAATGACATTAAGTGTCTTTAGCAAATGGTACATTTAAAAAGCAAATTCTGCTAACAAGGAGGGAGGGGAATCACTGAAGATAAAGGTTATAATAAAATCTTCAAAAATGTAAACTTGAGATACTCAATTCACTCAGGCTAGTTATCCTATGCAAAGCTGCCTACAGGCACATGTATAAATTAGCCTATCACATGGTTCATTCTAGTTATGAGACTAGTTATGATCCTCAGTAAGGCTGTCAACTGCCAAGGTATTGAAAGTGAGACTAAGGAGGCTCACTTTAAATTGGACTTAATGTTAATAACTATAAATAGCTACTTGTTTCTACTACAATGTGTAACACTGCCTTAGACATTCTCCTTTTTATTTAACATCTTATTCAGACGCTCTTACTGAACTACTTGTTTCAAACCCCTTTTGCTATCACTAAAATTAAATAGCTTGACATAATTAAAATCTGAAAAGCAAAGAAAATTACTGAAAGGCAATTTTAAGAGCCAGCTTTAAAATGTGCTTTTCTATTTGGCTGATTGGTACATTCTTAGAATTCCAGGTACTTGGGAGGAGGCTGAGGCAGGAGGATCTCAAGCTTGAGACCAAGATGGGCAAGTTAGTGAGACTTGTCTCAAAGTAAAAGTAAAAAAAAAAAACAAAACAGTGCTTCATTACTGAAAAGTACCATAAAAAATTATTTTATATTTGTAGTCATACTTCATATAAAAAAGAAGTAACATACATCTCCGAATGCTTGAAACTGAAATCTTTACAATATATACTCTTCACTAAATTCTTTGTCGATGACATAGTTCCAGGACAGAGAATGACATAGTTAAATACAAACACAGTACAATTGCCCAGAATTCAAAGAACAACTGAAGATCATTTCATACTTACCCACCCATGTGACAATACAGAGGTTAGTGAAGGGCAGTATGATCAAACATAACAATACAACGTGTCATTAAGTGAAGAAGGGTGTGATTTCTGTCTCTCTCAGGCTTTACCATACCACCAAACATCAACCTTACCTCAGTTTTAGGAGATTTTGGATTATTACTGATGATGCATACTTATTTTAAAATAAAAAAGTATTTTAAAATGTATAATATATCAGGAGAAAAAAATGTGAAATGTTTCCAGCTCCCCCTTGTTTTTCCTCTTTACTCTCCTTCTACTACGTAGTCCTTTCTTTTAAAGCACAGATGTGGGTGTTGAGAAAAGAATAACTATGATGCTTATCTGTTAGAAATGAAATAATGGCCTCATCTCTGGGACTGGTATAACAATCAAATCTTCCTTTCTTTGCCTATCAGTTTGGCTTTGAGTACCTAAGGAGTGGGGAATAGGTAGGAGGACATAATATTTAAAACAGTAACAGTATTCAGAGAAAGGGTTCAAAAGAATTCAAGTTATGGGAACAAGTTGTATACTTCTCTGCCCATTTCTGAAAGACTGCTGACTAGATTTTTTTTTTCTTTTGAATAAAATATAATAAAACTTACTATTTTGAGCTAGGGCATGAAGCAGACAATCCAAGCATCCTTCCAAACTGTCTTCAGTTCTGTCAACAGCTGTTATCTTCAATTTCTTTAAGGTATCACTGAGATTATCTGTTCACCAAAAAAAGAGGAGGGTGATCAGAAAGGTACTAACTTTATGACCATCATGTTACAGTGAAAGGATAAACAGTTACCACTATTATGCAGAAGGTTCCTATTATACTGAGTTTATCTCCATATACCTCCCAAATGGCACAGAAGGGCACTATTACAAGCTTTTACAACTGTCTAAGTCAGTGTGAGACATTCTGTCTATTAATAATTAAAGTACCTAAGATATTCCAGATTATCACTGAACACTTTTTAGTATTCCTATAATGAAGAAACCAGTTGGAAAAAAATGGATCAGGATCTGAACTTATATATACAATAGGCTTGGGTGTGAACTTTGATCTTTCTGATTCAGCATCCCAGAGTGCTGGGATTATAGTATTTTAGTAGTATTCTATTTTACTGTACCGTTCAGAAACCAAATACAGTTGAGAAAAACTAAATGTCTACAAAGCAATCATATAGCTTTGTAAATAATATTAATTTTCTTAGTTTGTTGTATTTTAAAGGTATAAAATTAAAAAGGTCTAGCAAAGTTTCAAAATATGAATTCAAATAATACTAAGTTAAAACAGCTACAAAGCCTACTTTAACACTTCCATTTGAAAAAATATTTCATACCAAAGTATTGCTTTATGCTAAAATGTGCACTTTGAATTATAAAGTTAGGTGATGCTCTAAATTATATGTTAATTCCTTGGTAAACTATGGATTCTCAAAACCTTTTTACATAATACATTTGTAAGGATCCCAAAAGGCTTTTATTTACATTATTTCTAAGGATGATTGCACATAAAAAAATAAAAACTGGGGGAAGGAGGGTAAGAAGGGGGTAAAGAGACATAAAAATAATTAAGATGTGTGTGTACATATGCGAACTCCTCACAATAAATGTAACCATTAAGTATTGCAAGCACATACTAATAAAAATATGAAAAAAATTAGACAGCCAAATAAACAAATTTCAGAGATTTTTACTAATTCATTGAAAAATGACAGTAACAATGGCATCTGTTTTACATGCTTACAAATCTCTATAACGTGGCTCAAAAAGCGGTAACTAGATTCTCATTCTGCATTCAATCTTTTATAAGGTACTGTTCTGGCTAAGTAGATTAAAAATTTTTCAGCCTCAAATATACTTAGAAAACAACAGAATATTTGACAGGTTTTCAGTAATTGTGGATATTATTTGATACAAGACTAAACTTGATAAGTGGTAGTAGTTCTTTGAAGATTGGTTGCCATGTCAAGGCTGAAAGTATCAATGAACATTTCCAACTGTTATTACATTGAAATCCATTAGTCTCTTGTGCACTGAATCTTTCACACATGTAAGACATTTATTATCATTCACTGATCACTTTTAAAATGAGGTGACTTAGTTGTACACATCTCTCAAATGCTTCCACATCTAACTGTGCTACCTCAAAATACCACGTTAATATAATTGCTAATCTTATTTGAGAATTCAGTTTTATCAACAGCATCTATGCCATCAGGTTTTTTTCCTTAAATGACAGTGAATTTATTCATTAATGAGAATGTCTACCAAGTAAACAAATTTTTAAAAACAATTTGTCAGAAAAACAAAACAATTTGTCAGTTCTCTTAACTAATACATGTCATTCCTGAGGGCCAAAGAGCTTTCATTAGCTCACATTTCAAACAACTGCACAAGTGCCTTTCTTCACTGGAACCATCAAGATTCCACAATGCAATACTAGTGCACACGTCCAACTTCATCCTGTGGAATACTTTTTAGAACTTATTTTCAAAGCTTGAGGTTTTAAAAGATATTTTTCCTAAAAAAAAGTTGTTTTCTAGTCCATAATGGTCATTCTCAAAACTGGTATAATTTTTTTTTTTTTTTGTAACTTTCAGTATGTGATGGTGAAAAAGACAGTAGCTATTATTCTGATGCATGTCAATATACCAGCAGGGTATATATTTTTTTTTTATATATTTTTTTATATTTTTTTTATATTTTTTTTTATATTTTTTTTTATATATTTACCCATAACTGCTTTTGCACCACTGTTAGTGAAAGTATCAACACAATGAAAAAGACAAATAACGTTACTAAGCAAATTAGCTTTGGCCACAAGGGTCCCCTAATAGGCTACTGAGGATGTGAAGGATAACTCTTTTCAGGCATTCTCTCACTTCAAAGTAGGTTGCACATTTTAATAGAATGGTGCACATGGTGAGTTCATGACAACTCTAAAATATGATAGAATCCTTTTTTTAATAAAATGAGATAATTGACTAATTGGCTTCCCAGGAAAACAAGAAGATTTAAAACTCACATCAATTAATGCTAACGTTCTCTAGTTGTGTATGACAAGTAAAACCTATCACTAATTTAGTAATCTTAAAGCTACTCCATTAGAAATCCTACTTTCTTAATCACAATCAAGGTTAACATTTATTTTCTTGGGCTGGGAATTTAGTTCAGTGGTGCCATGCCTGCCTTGCAAGCCCAAGGTGCTGAGCTTGATCTCCACTACTGGGGGAAAAAAAAAAAACAGTTTTATTTTCTTGGATTGTTTTGAAAAACTGATCTTTCCTAAAGAAATAGAAAACTATATCCATATGTACCTCTTCTGTTCTAAAAGCTAAAGAGAAGCTGTACAACATCATATTCAGGTATATTTTTTCACTCATAATATGTAGTTGTTAGTTGATTTATCTGAAATAAAGGACCAATAATATATATTAAAATTTTAAAAATAAAACTAATTATAACAACACTAAGGAAAAATATTACTGACAATGTTGGCCAAATTATTGCATTTCATCAAAATTATCAGTTGAGTTATAAGATCAACTTACTGAGTACTACAAAATATTTTAAAGGTACTGCCTCATCTGGTATGAACAATAACCTAATGCAACGTGTAAGTACATTCATATTCTTTTTACTCATTGAAACACTATTTACTTGATCTGCACAAAGACTTGAAAGTAGAATGCACTATCATTTGTTTCCTTATATGCAGATTATAAATGGAGGCATAGCAAGTGGAACAATTTATACCAAAATCCCCCAACTAGTAAAAATGCCGAGTCAAACCAAAAAAAAAAAAAAAAGCAATAAAGATAGGAAAGGAAAAAGTTAAACTGTTATTATTTGCTGATGATAAACTCTACCTAGAAGACCCAAAAAATTCTGACAAAAGACTTCTAGACTTGATTGACAGATTCAGTAAAGCAGCTGGATACAAGGTAAATACTCAAAAATCAAAAGTCTTCAATATCAGACTCACTGAGAGTGAAATTAGGGAAACAATCCCTTTCACAATAGCACCCCAAAAATGAAATATTTAGGAATCAATCTAGCAAAGGAAACAAAAGACCTCTACATCAAGAACTACAATACTCTGAAAAAGAGATCGAAGAGGATATTAGAAAATGGAAACATATCCTTTGTTCCTGGGTAGGAAGAATCAATATAGTGAAAATGGCCATACTTCCAAAACTGCTACACAGATTCAACACAATCCCTACTGAAATCCCAACAACATATTTCATAGAACTAGAGAAACCTAAAAATTCATTTGGAACCAGAAGAGGCCTAAAATAGCAAAAGCTATTCTAGGCACAGAGACATGGCAGAGGGTATCACAATTCCCAACTTGAAACTATACTACAAAGCCACTATGATAAAAACAGCATGGTACTGGCAAAGAAACAGACCTGAGGATCAGTGGAACAGATTAGAAGATGCAGAAACAACTCCTGACATACTCAGCTATCTCATCTTTGACAAAGGAGCCAAACACTTTACATGGAGGAAAGACAGTCTCTTTAATAAATGGTGTTGGAAAAACTGGATTTCAACTTGCCAAAGATTAAAATGAGACCACTATCTTTCATCATACAATAAACTAAAATCTAAGTGGATTAAAGATCTAAATAGTAAACAGTAAACTTGCTGGAAGATAAGTTAGGTAGAACTCTTGAAGATATGGACATAGGAAAAGACTTTATGAACAAATCCTCAATAGCATGGAAACTAGCACAAAGAATCAATAATTGGGATCTTGTCTTTTTAAAAAGCGTCTGCACTGCCAGAGAAATCACAAGCAGAGCTAAGAGACAACCCACAATGTAGGAAAAAAAATTCTGTCAGCTGTTCTCAGACAAAGGTCTACTATCTAGAAAATATAAAGAACTCAAAAAATCTGATTCCCCTCAAATAACCCAAATCAAAAATGGGTAACAGCAGCAAACAATCATAAGAAAAAATGTTCAACATCACTGGTCATTCGAGAGATGCAGATGAAAACAACACTGAGATTCCATCTCATCCCAGTAAGAATGGCTGCTATCAAGAAATCAGCCAATAACAAATGCTGGTGGGGTTGTGGGGAAGATAGGAATCCTTCTTCATTGTTGGTGGGAGTGCAGACTGTTGCAACCACTGTGGAAATCAATATGGACACACCTCAAACAACTAGGTTTTGACCCAGCTATTCTTCTGCTGGGTATCTTCCCAAAAGAATTAAAAGAATCATACCACAGTGATATATGCTCACCCAAGTTTATAAGTGGCACAGTTTGTAATAGCTAAAATTTTGAAACAGTGCAATTACCCATCAACTGGAGACTGGCTAAAGATGAGGTTTTTTTTTTTAAATAAAATGGAGTACTACTCAGCCATAAAGAATGAAAAACTAGAGAGGTTTATAGCTAAGTTGATGCACATTGAGGCCATAGTCTTAAGTGAAATTAATAAGTCATATGTGTAAATACCAAATAGTTTCTCTGATGTGAAAAGTCAGGGTCAGTAAGGATCAAAATGTATAGTTGATGTTGTGTAATAGGAAGTAAAGTCTAAAAGAGTAGAGGAAGTGGGAGGGGCAGGGGAAAGGGAAAAAGGGAAAAGAAAAAATATATCAAAAGGATAAACATGGCAAGAATGTCTCTGTAAACAGGCAAGGGTGGAGGGGCGGAAGGGAGGGCTGGGGTATGGGGAAAAATAAGAACCAAGACA